AAAATTTATATTTAGCATACCTATCTACTTTCTCTTTAACCACATTTTCCTCATTTTGTTGTGTTGTTTGTTCGGGTGCTGTGTTGTCCCTAAAAGATTTTAATTATTTTATGTTTTTATGTTACTTTTGCGTAATACATAAAAAATAATGTAAATATTGTTAGATATTGTTGCTATTATTATTTTTTATGTACTACTACCTTATACCAGTATTGTTCAATTTTATACTTTTTTATGAAACAAAACTAATTTAATTAAATTAAAATATGTAAAATTAATTATTTGTTAGTAAAAACTCACTGTTGTTGAAAACCTGGTCCAAAAAATATGGTGGGTACAGCATCTGGGTGAAGACGAGCCCTAACTTTATTAATTTTGTACCATTTGTTTTCAAAATGCAAATGGCACAAACGACAATTCTGGTGGGCATATTCTGGACCTCTAGGTTCTAGATCCAGCCTTCCACATGCTCGTACCCATTGCAACCATCTGTAAATGTTGTAGCATTTTACCAATGACAAAGTAATGCACACATTACAATTAAAAATATAATTTATATAAAAAATAATAATATTATATAAAGCAATGTGTTATACCTGTCTTGTTTCTTTGGAAATTTAAAAAAATGTCGTTGCACATCAATAAACTTCTTAACGCACTCTGGTACTGCGCAGCTTGGCTTTCTTATCGCATTCATCTTTAATTATTATGCAGCAACACCTGAAACAAAGCTAAGATCAAAGTGCTTCCAAGAGAATTGAAAACTTATATAATATTTATATAGGTTAACTATTCCCTTAGAAAAAAATTTCTCTTTTATGTTTCTGTTGAATATGGCGCTCTAGCGCCTTGAAGCGCCTCTATGTTCGCACAGACACGCCACGCATGCTAGGGAAAATTAAAGTTCCGTTGCGTGAGCGCTTACTGCGTTTCACTATATACTCTCACTATCTATGTACTCTACCTGTCTTGTCGTTCGTTCGTTACGTTGCAGTGTGTATAAAGTTTCTTTTCGTTGCATTACCTTTTCCAAAAGACACACTGCCTATTGTATTCAAGTCTTACAATTACACGTATCTTAACCACAATACCGGGCGTAAGTCATTAAATAACCCTGCGCAACAGTTTCCTTCGCTTTTATCACTTATATCACTTATTTCACTTTTATCACTTTCTTCCACTTTTCTTCACTTCATTCTTTCACTGTCTTTATACTTTGTAAACTCTTTTCACTTTAATTAATCACATAAACGTATTCAGAGTCTGTCAAACACTTCTAACAGCTCTCGCAATAGCATTCAGTGACTAATTGAGCTAATTCCCTCCAAATTTCTGTTCCAATACAGATAGGCATTTACTTAACTGACCATTTAAATTCTAAGAGGGAGCGGAGCAGAACGGAGAAAGCAATTGAGAAAGAAGTTCAGAGAACGACGTTCAGATGGGGTTAGTGGGCGCTTACTTATTTCGCGCATGCGCACTCCATTTTGGACAACAAGAAATCAGGAGAGTTGCGCTACTGTATATACCGTGGTCGAGGTCTTTTCTCGCCTAGCTGTTGAAGAGTGCGGACGTACAGTCGAGCGCGGTCTTAGAGTATTCTAGATAGCGTAAGTGTAGCGAACGTAAGCAATTTAATTTGCAATTTTTTTTCTTTGGTGAACATGGTGTAACGGTGTAACGTGTATCGGAAAATGAGATAAAAGATACATTGAGTAAGATAAAAAATACATTTCGGAAAATCTTAAACCCATATCCTGCATCTCTCCTCCTTCTCCCTTACTTACTTTTATTCACCCTTTGCCTTCTCTCTCTCTCTCTTCCAATCCTTTCCTTGCTCTCCCGATCCCTCCCTTCAGCTTTTCCACGTCCCGTCTCTCAAGTTCGCTCCTTGCCTTACTTCCCGCCACGTGCGTTTGCCATGCGCTCACCTCGTTCAATCGACCCGGGAAGTCAGACTACGGAAGTTCGGGTGACGACCAAGACTTCTTGGACGAGGCACGGATTACTGGACCCCGTTTTGCGTGTCGCCCTAGGAGGTTCTGGTTAGGTCTCTTCTCTTCGGGAGCAGCGGATCGGTTGCTGATCTCGAGTCGAAGTGTCTTCTTTCGCCGCGGCGCTGATTTTTATAAAGGGGTCGATAGATTCGGTGAAGAGGCCGATCCTCGTGCGAGCCACGCGGCGGAGCAGTGCAGATGAATTACGCGCGCTCGCACTCGGCGGAGATCGGCTCCCGTCGCGGTTCGTCGGGGCCGCAAACGCTCGTGCACACGATAATTTTGAGCGAATTAAAAAATGTGGGCGCACCGCGCCTTATCCTCGCCCGACGGATGGTCGGGAGGCATCCGGCGGGTGTTAACCGGGAGACGATGCATTGACAAGGGTGCATCGTTACAAAATAAATAAATACATCTATCTATTTCATAAAAAAGAATATGTTACAATGCAGAATATTGAGATCAAAATTAAAATATATAAAATATTTATTTGTTAACAATTTATTCGTAATATTCTATAATAATAGTACAATTTCCCGCGAAAAACGATCTAATATGAATCTAACTAAAATCATATTAAATCATATTTAATTTGGGTAAAATTCAAATTAAATCCAGATTTTATATTAAAATTATAATATTTGTTTAAATACAGTTTTAATTTGCACTTATTAAAATCAGTTATGTAGATTAAATATGATCCACAATAAAATAGGGCTTTAATTAAAATTTAATTAGATCACTTATGTGGATCATATAACACTTCGAATCAAATATGGTTTTAATTTGTATTTAATAAGATAACTTATGTGGATTATATATGATCCAGAACCATACATGACGCAGAATATTTATATATAAGATTTTAATAAAAAGTTAATGTGTTCTGTATGCGACTTTTACTCGATTCAATTGCGGCTTTAACCCAAAGGGCCTAGCGGAGTAAGCATGTGAAATCGGCCCTTGATCATACAGAGCTGACATTAATGTCACAAGTTAGTACCAATATGATAAAACTTTCCACCAAATATTATTTTAAAAAATTCATTTTTTTAGAAGTTATGCAGGGAGAAAGTAAAATAAAGAAATATATTTTTCTCGAAAACCACTTGACCGATCTTGATGAAAAAAATATATGTTATGTAGACTAATGAAACTAATTAACAAAAAAAATGTCCAAAATGTTTGCCAAAAAAAAGACCAAAAAAAAAAATATTTGAATTTTTAAATATTTTTTTTTTAGGGTGATATTTTCGAGGTACTCCTTTGAAATTTTTACGGAAATTTCTCTTAAAGTGTCCATTATAACTTATATTTTTTTCAATTTTTTTTAAATAGTGGAACATAGTTAAAAATACGAAAATCGTAAGCGTCGCGTCACTCCGGCGCACAGTGCAGTGCCATTCCGCGTTGCGGGTGTTCGATGTAACTTTACTAGCACATATGTACGTCTGCAATTAGCCTATAATATGTATACTTTTTAAATTTTATAGTTTCCAGAGTTTACCACGTGGAGGTTGCAGTACGGTTTTAAACTCCTTATTGGGGTGCTTTTTTAACGTGAGTCCCCTCGCCTTTCACTACGTTTCCG